TCCAGAGCAGACTGTAGTCTGGCATTTTCCTTGTTTTTGGCTTCTTTTGAAGCCTATAAATGATATCCAGAATCAAACATTAGAATTGGGACTAACTAGACAGAAGAAACAATTGTCAGAATACGTGGTAGATACACCTTAATGCCGTGGTGGTATATATTTGAGTTTGTATAATAGAGCTTAAAGCCAGTTTCTCTACTAAAGATTTAAAACATAGCAGCAAGTCACCAACAATTTACCTTAAGTATCTCATTTTCAGTGACGAGCTTATTGACCATTTCAAGATCAATGACCTGAGCCTCTTGTACAACAAATGCCCCTACAGTGCTATCTTTTCCTTTCTCACATTCTTTCATGAGTAATTCTTTAGTCTCTTGAAACTGAAGTCACATTTCTTCCAATGCAGCCCGCAGTCTCACATTTTCTTCAGTTTTGGCCTGCTCCATGTCTTCAATCTCCTCTGCTTTCTCTTGTTCCCTCATGAGCAATTCTTTAGTCTCTTGAAACTGAAGTCGGGTTTCTTCCAAAGTAAACTGTAGCTTTAATTGTTCTTCAGTTTTGGATTCCTCTATCTCAGTTGTCTCCTTTGTGCGATCTTGTTCCCTCACAAGCAAATCTTTAGTCTCTTGCAGCTGAAGCCGCATTTCTTCCAAAGCAGACAGTAGCTTTACATTCTCTTCTGTTTTGGCTTCTCTTATTTCAGCAGTCTCTTTTGCTTTCCGTTGTTCCCTCATGAGCAACTCTTTAGTCTCTTGAAGTTGAAGTCGCATTTCTTCCAAATCAGTCTGTAGCTTTACATGCTCTTCAGTTTTGGCTTCTCCTATTTCAGCACTCTTTCGCTTTCCGTTGTTCTCTCATGAGCAACTCTTTAGTCTCTTGAAATTGAAGTCGCAATTCTTCCAAATCTGACTGTAGCTTTACATGCTCTTCAGTTTTGGCTTCCACTAATTCAGCATTTTCCTTTGCTTTCTCCCGTTCCCTCATGAGCATTTCATTCGCCTCTTTAAACTGAAATCGGATTTCTTCTGAAGTAGACTGTAGCTTCACAAGTTCTTTAGTTTGGGCTTCTTCTATCCTAGCCGCCTCCTTTGCTTTCTTGTGCTCTCTCATTAGCAAATCTTTGGTCTCTTGAAGGTGAAGTTGAATTTCTTCCAAAGCAGACTGTAGCTTCATAATTTCTTCAGTCTTGGCTTCCTCTATACCAGCCTGTCAGAAGTCCAATTCGCAACTCATATTCCAAATTGTTGCCACAATAATAAACAAGCTCACTAAGCTTTAATCACAACCTAGTTAGGCTAGCAACATCGATATGTGAAATCAATCACAACAGTTACACTTTTTAACCTTAACATCTGGAGGCATTGACAAACATGTCTAA